GAGAGAGAGAGAGAGAGAGAGAGAGAGAGAGAGAGAGAGAGAGAGAGAGAGAGTTGAGGTGATTCCAGCAAATGAGTGAAAGTCGTGGTCATGAATTTGATTATGTGAACCTAGTTGTAATTGCGGCCAGGCTCATCAGAAATCGAGTCGGTATGATCGTGGGAAGACGGCTGATGACCTGAGCGCGAAGAAAGCGAGAGATAGAGCGGGAGGGAGAGTGAGAGTGAGCAAGAGAATACTGGGAGGGAGTGAGAGAGTTAGTGCCAGTGCGCAGTGGGGGTGACAGACTAAGAGAGGGAGAGGGAGAAACAGGGGATGAGAGCTCGAGTGTGGGCATGAAAGAGGCCATTTCCCATTATTTGCTATTATTATTGTATTTCATGAAACTGGCTTCATACACGAAATGTTGCATTCCCAATGGAGTTGATTTGAACCAGATAGCATCGTGCGGACGAGCAGAGCATTAGGGCTAGTGCGCAAGAAAGAGGGTGCGAGACTAGTGTTAGTGTGAGTGAGAGAGCAAGAACGCGCCCATGCGTGTGAGTGTCTGTTTATGAATGTGTGAGAGAGAAAGAGAGTATCAGGCCGCCATGATGCACCTCTCCACGTCCTAGTTGCAGATTCATTCTCATGTCCCCATCAGCAAGTAATTGAGCGGAGCCATTCCATGCTCTAACTGAAGTTTCATGTCCTCGTCATTCATCAGATGATAACTAATCGAGCAACCAGCAGCACACAGGAGATGAAGAAAATGCAAGCGTTTCCGAACTTTTCTTCCACGTTCTAGCTGAGGGTGCATTTTCGTTTTCCCTCATCTGGAGTAATCAGGTGTGGCCCTCAGTGCACTGCAGGCCAGGAATACCACAGTACATCTTTCCATGATCTACCTGAAAATCCTTTCTGATTCCCTACATTTGGGGAGTAATCAAGGTAAGCCACAGCGCGCAACAGACAGAATTTGGACGTATATCTATCCATGTGCTGGCAGAAGATACATTCCAATGTCCCGTCATCTGGTGACTAATGGAGCAAGGTCCAGGTGAGTTCAAACAGCAAGAAACAGACAGAATTTGGCAGTATATCTGTGTGGGGATCCGGGCCGCCTGGGTGACCGGCAGGGGCCCGGGGCAGGTCCCAGGCGGCCTGGCCGGGCAGGGCACCCGGTTGGGGGGCGGGCCCTCCCAGCGCACTCACCTGTCGCGGGATTTCGGACTCCCTTTCGGACCCCCTTTGTGTGTGTGTGTGTGTGTGTGTGTGTGTGTGTGTGTGTG